TTCCCACGCTCCTCCTCCATTTCTCTCTGTTTCCTCTCCTCCCCATCTCCATCCCCGGCCCCTTCTCGTGAATGCTGCTACGTTATCTTGTCTTCTATTTTCTTCTTCATCACAAGAAACGACTTTTTAACCGTTGAAATGTGAAGGCAGAATCAGAGAGAGGGGGGACCCCCAGCAGGGTGGCCAGGCAGGTGCTGAGAAGGGAAAGGAGGGGTTGAGGAGTTGGGAGACGACCTCAGAAACACTACGTGCCTGAAAGGCCCCCGGAATCAGTGAGGAGAGGACCCCACACCTTCTGCTGGACCCCTCCCCGGCCTGTTCCTTCCTGGGCAGCCAAGCTGGGCCCAGGCAGGAATGGCTTTTGGAGCTTGGTTCTCCCTGCCACCCTACTCTCCGGCATCCCGCCCCTAAACCTTGGGTTCAATGTTTACTTTCTCATTCACATGCCAGCAAGGACAGAACCCGCCCCTGCGCCCGTGCCCCACCCCTCCCGCCCCCCAAGACCCCAGCAGCAGAGGGAGGTACTAGGTCTCTGCTTTCTCCTGCCCTCGCCATCACCTGGACCTGAGGGGGCTGCTCCCAGGGCAGGTGGGTCCCCAGCACCGCCATTACGGGTTGTCTGACAGCGCAGTGTGGCATTTTGTTGTTTCATGAGCCTCACACTGGTCCCTGCGGGCAGCCCCGCCCCCCAAACAGGCCAGTGGATATTTATTTCCAGAGCGCATAGGTAATTGCTCCCAGAGAAGAGGAAAAAAATCTAGACAAGATTTGAAAACACACATCTCTCGGGTTTTCTATCTTCAAATCGCCCTCCCCACCCACCCCTTACCATCCCACCGCCCATCCCCACCTTCATCCTCTTCAGGGTTATTTCCCAGAATCTATCTAGCTTTTTTTTTCTCGTTTTTTGGTGCGTGTATAAAAATCACAACGAAGGGAAAATGGACAAATGGATTTTGGAGGTTCAGACCCATCTTCTGTATGCCGGCTGCCAGTGGACTCTCTCTGGGGACATTGTTTCTTGTGGAAACATGTGGGGAAACGTTTAGTGCTCTTTTCTTTGTATGTACTTTGGGAAAACGAGACACACACACACACAGAGGCAAGCCCCCCACCCCGAACCCCGAACCCCAGAAGGCAGCGCGGGCCTGTAAATAAGGACCGTCTCGACCAGGAGTGGACCTCCCTCCCACGTCCTCCGCGGAGCCGGCCGCCCGTCACAGCGGATGCTGGCGGCCGGCGCCTGGTATCTCGGCTTGTGTCAAGCTTGTTATCATGTAAATTCTGTACAAAGAATTGTTATTTTTCTCTTTGGCTTTTGTTTTCGTTTTTTCCCCCCACTCCCCGTCGTTGGTGTTTTCCGTTGTTTGGTTCTTGCTCTTCCTTTCAACACGGCTTCGCGCGGACGGAGTCGGCCGTGACGACACAGCCGTGACGACACAGCGGGTACCCGGACGCAGCGCCACCTCTCTCTTCCGCGGGCGGCCCTTCTGCCTAATTGTACACCCGGAGGAATATTTATTTTTCACTCGAGGAAATGTGTAGCTTGCGGAGACGGCGGACTTAAGTTATTTTTTGCGGCCCCCAAGGGGCTGTCTCATTGGATCCCAACCATCACCTTACCCATCCCCCCCAAAAAAGGGGGTGGTGGGAAGGATGCGAGGAAACGGAGCCCCACCTCACCCAACATCCGGCTCCCGGCTCACCTGAGCCGGGTGTTCTGGAGGGCGAGCGAGGGGGGGGGACGACACCCTCTCCTGAGGAGCCCCACCACACCCTGCCCCCCAAGATGGTTTGCAGTCATTCAGAAATGTGTTGCCTTCTCTCCCACCAACCCTCTTTTAATCCTTTTGTTTTCATTGACCAAATCTCTGCTTTTGAAGAGTTGGGGGTTTGCTCTTTGTTTTTTAAGTCTTGTGCCCCCCCCCTTTCATTTACATACTCCCCCCACCGCAAAGAAGAGAAACAATACGTTTTAGGGACGTTTGTGCATATATACTCGGTCATCCGTATGTAACTTGTTTTGAAAAGAAGTGTTTCCGTTGTGGGTGTGTCTTGCTGTAAATATTTGTTCATATTTTTGTGAATTCAATACTATGTACCATTGTATTATAGTAACTTTTATAAAGCAAACCATAAATATACTGACTTTTCTTACGGACACGCCGTCTCTTTTGCTCTCCTCTCTCTCCCCCTCCTCCTCTCTCCTTTCTTCCACGGATGGAAGGGTGGCATGCCTTCTAAGGCAGCAAAGGTGCGCCTTCATTCTGAACCTGGGCCACCTCAGTGGACAGGTGGGGCCTGACGCCGCTTTTCAGTTTCCCTTCTACAATTTTCCTTAAAATCAGAGACGCACAATACCTCTAAAGGCCTGGGATTGAGGAGGCAGCACCAGGGACCCTCGCGATTTCCAGAAGTAATTGGCAAGGTGGTTTATGAAAAAGGCGCAACACTTACGAAGGCCTCCCTCTGGTCTGCACCCCAGCGCAGCTGGCTGAGAAGCAAAACAGCGTGGGACCTGGCAGCGTGATGACTCTAGTAGGTCGCTACTCTGTCTGAGGAGGGGCCCACACTGTCCCTGAGCCACCCTGCAGTATAACACAGCAGAAAAGATACCGCCCTTCATTTCATATCCAAACCAAACCCACTGCCATCAAGTTGGTTCCCGCTCACAGCCACCCTATAAGGACAGAAAAGGAATCCTTGCCCCCTCCTAGGGGGCTATAAATGTTGACGGAAGCAAATCACCTCATCTTTCTCCCACAGAGCAGCTGGTGGGTTTGAACTGCTGACTTTGCAGAGAACAACCCATCGTATAACCTACTATGCCACCAGGGCACCTTTTCTTTTTCTTTTTTTTTTAATTGCTGAATTTTATTGGCACCTTTTCTTACTAACGTATGAATTATACCACGAGAGCATTCCCCACAGTCCAATCAGCTAATGTTGGCTGCTGTCATGCTAACCCCCGACTCTCCCCTCACCTCCCCAACCAGTGAGTGTGGTGCTCTTCTTCACATCCATCCACCCCACCCTCTCCTCTTCTCCAGTCCCACAGGAGAACATGGTTCTGCTATGGGGGCCCAAGGGGAATTCCAAGACCTACATACACCCAGTAGGCCAGATTAGTGCGGCAGGGGGTGAGGGTATTCCAGGTCCTGAGCAGACTGGAGAAAGGGTCTTTCACCCACACCCCTCTCCAAAAATAATCGGCACATTTATGATCCCAAACTGCATCGTTGAGGTAAATTGACAGCAGTGTTGGAAGGTGGGTGGTGGTGGTCCCATTTTACAGATGTGGAAGTTAAGGCACAGAAGTAGATTGCTGTGGCGAAGAAAGCTGATGGT